ATTCAAAGTCTTCCTTTCCAACACCATAAATCCTAACTCTACTTTACAACTTACAAATGAGAACTAAAATACAATTACAACTAAAATCACACAAATGTTTATAAACTAAATAAAATGGTAAACAATCCACACAAATCAAACATAAAAAGACACATTTATGCACTACTAATTAGTGCATATCAGCTTCCTAATGGGGAACCTACTACTTCTATTGATCAAGTTGTTTGTGAACTTGTTAAATTCTATATGGACCTTTTTGGTCCGCATTTTCCATGTCTTGACTTAGATACTAGCATCATTACTTCCGGGAAATGTCTAAGTAGTGATATTGCTAGTAGTCTTTTGGCTCCAATTACTACATGGAGATTAAAGATGCTATGTTTGATATTGTTGATAATAAAACACCTGGTCTGGATGGATATAATTTTGCCTTCTTTACAAATAACATCCATATTGTGGGAACTGATGTTGGACCAGATGTATAAGGTTTCATTGGTTATGGTAGGATGTTAAAGCAACTTAACCACACGGTTATTGCTCGTATTCCTAAGACCAATCATTCCCCCACGACTGCTGATTTTAGACCCATTGCTTGCACAAATGTTATCTATAAGGTCATTACTAAGATTATTTCTAGTAGATTGAATCTTTGCTTGCCTGATTTGATTAACCCATCGCAAGGTGACTTTGTTGATGGTAGATTAATGATTGACATCTTTGTGGCTCAATAATTGATTAAAAGGTATGCTAGGAAGCGTATCTCCCCCCGATGTATGTTAAAGGTGGACCTTACAAAAGCCTATGACACTATATCTTGGGAATTCCTTTCTAGTGTGCTACTACAGATTGGTTTCCCATCTACATTTGTTAATTGAATCATGGAATGTGTTTCCACTCCCTCCTTTTCCATATCTGTGAATGGCATTTTGCATGGTAATTTCCAGGGCAAAAGGGGTCTTAGACAGGGGGGATCCTATGTCCCCTTCTTTGTTTTGATTTGTCTTGAATATCTGTCTAGATTGCTAAAAGTGAGAACTGCCACACCTACTTTCAAATTTCACCCTAAATGTGGAAATTTGAATATTAATCATGTGCCATATGCTGATGACTTGATGTTGTTCTCTAGGGGTGACCTCCCCCTCTATTAAAGTGTTAATTGATGTTTTGGATGAATTTGGTAACACATCTAGTTAGAAAGTTAATTTTGATAAATCTAATATCTTTCTTGGTGGCATCAATCATTATCAAAAAACCAATATACTTGACATGGTTGACTTCCAAGTTGGGACCTTTCCTATTAAGTATCTTGGGGTTCCTTTGGCTCCACGCAAGGTATTTGTTGCCCAATATGCTCCTCTTATAGATTCAATCATGAACTATAATGGTGCTTGGAACCTCAAAAACCCCTCTTATGCGGGTAGAGTTGAGCTCATTAAAGCAGTTATCCAAGGTGTTCATTCATTTTGGCTACAAGTCCCTATCCCAAAGACTGTACTTGATAGAATAACTTCCATGTGCTGAACCTTCCTTTGGGGTAGCAAATTTTCTAGAGTAACTTGGGCGGATATTTGCCTCCCCAAGAATGAGGGTGGACTTGGAATAAATGATACAAAAGTGTGGAACTATGCTCTCCTTGCTGAAACCGTTTGGGATATCCATGCAAAAAAAGACAACCTTTGTGTTAAGTGGGTGCATGGTGTTTATCTCCAAGGCCGAAGTGTGTGGGAATTTTCCCCACACAATAGGGACTCACAATTGATAAAAAAGATTGCATTAGTCAGAGATGAATTGCTTGCACACTTTGACTGAAGACCCGATGCTATCCTTGGTTTACAAAGCTGTCAATATAATGGTAAATTATCTTCTTCTAAAGCTTAGAATCTTCTTAGGAATAAAGGACCCACCCGTAGGTGGATGGATGTCTTTTATTTGGAAAAATTACATTCCTCCAAAGTTTTCCTTTACAACTTGGTTGACATTCTGAAATAGGTTGACTACATGTGACAATCTAACTAGATTGGATGTAGTTAACACTTGTATATTTTGCAAGGGTGGACCGGAAACTAGGGCAGAGCACGGGCCGGGTTCGAAAATGGTAAACCTGTTCGGGTATCGGATTGATAATTTCAAACCCTACACTATCAAAAAATATATCGGGTTTTCCGGGTCGGGTTATGTTCGGGTTTCGGTCGGGTTGATTCGGTTTTCGGGTCCATTCGGATTTTAATTTATTATTGTTAAAATTGTGATAAATAAAATGGTTATTGGTAAAAATATCATTCAAAGTTATACTAGTATAACATTCAAAGTAATAGTTGTATAAATATGATAATCGACATATTTGAACATGTAAAATAATAATATACGGTGATATACATATTTGATATTGTGATAAATAAAATGACAATTGGTCAAAATATTATTGAAAGTCATAACAATACAACATTCAAAGTTATAGTTTTACAAATACGGTAATTGAAATACTTGAATATGTATAATATGGTAATTGACATACAATAATTGAGATATTTGAACATGCATAATAATTCAAAGTAGTATATTTACTACCCTAGTTCGCGTTTTCGGGCGGGTCGGGTAGCATAATTGGTAACCCTACCCGCTACCTGCTTAATTCTCGGGTTGCAAAAATCGGGTCGGGTTTGGGTGATTCGGGTCGGATTTGCTCTCCCATACCGGAAACGGTTCCACATCTCTACTTTGAATGTTCATTTTCAGGTAAAGTTTGGCAAGGGGTCAAAGAATGGATGGGAATGCTGAAAAGAATGAGCATCTTGGCTAGCTCAATAAATTGGATAAAGAAAGAGAGAGGAGGAGCAGGGATAAAAGCTAAAGCCACACGGATTGCATTCTTCTTTTCCATATACTGGATTTGGAGAACTAGGAATGCAGAAATATTAGAAGGGATCACTCCTAAAGAAGGGGTTGTTTTCACAAGAATTAAGCACATTGTGTACAAGATTTTGTATAGTATCTATTCGCATGACTTGATTGTGTTTTGAGAACTTTCTTGCTGCCCATCACCTATTTTTTGTCATGGCTGCCATTGTATGATCTTGGTTGCTTTAGATAGACTAGATAGCATAATGTTTTTTGAGGTGATGGGTTATCCAAGCTTTGGATAGCCTACAGTTTTGCTCATGTTTTTGCTGTACAGATAAACTCTTTTGGACGACTTTTATATATACTTACATTTCATCCAAAAAAATAACAACATAACATTATTCTAAAAAAATAAATAATTCCATACATACTATTGTATTATTAAAAAGTTTTTTTTTTTTTAATTTCAACTACACTTTTTCTTTCAATAACATCCGTAGAGAGCATGTTAAAATTCGAAGAAGGAAATTATTTTGAGAGGGAGGACAATATAAGCTAAAGGGGCCGTGTGAATAGGTGTGGATAGTGTCCTGGGACCTGTCCAAACTGGGACCGACTAGTCATGGATCGGAATATCAGATCGGGATAGGAAAATGGTTTCGAGTGCAATGATAGACCTAGAAGTTTTCTAAAAGGGCTTTTGCCCATACATATATGTGTTGGTGAATGTATCGCTATGTATAACATAGGAAATAAAATATACACATATATTAAGTGTAAAGATGTGTGGGTATGCGACAATATCTAAAAGTTATTACCCACATGTGGACTTATGTGTGGATAATATTTTATTCTTTACTTACATGTTCATGTATGGGCATAAAATTATTAAATGTGTGACTGTTTCTATTGAAAAAATCGGCATGATGACGTGCTATTGATTTTAACATGGAGCATTACATGACAGTGATGTGGCATATGAAGCAGCGACTTGAGCCTGACATGCTCGTTGACATGGATGCTTTCATCGCATATGACGTGGGAAGTTGGGGTGACGTGTTTGCTTACGTGGACATTGATGTGGCGTATTACGTTCTCCAACACCATTAAGCATTTCACTATATATGTTGAAAGATTTGAATCATTTATATGTTTTTATTTCCAGAATTGTAGGAGACTGCCCCTAATCAAACAAACGGACTGATTCTCAGCTCATCCAAACACCTTCTTTAATATTTGTTTATCAGTCAATTCCTCAGGTGAATAATCTCTTCTCAACTGCATCTCAAGTATCTACAAATACAAGTCCTATATTTGAAATCTAAATAATATAATAAAGGAATCCCTTAGCACACCCCTTTATAGGAATATTGACATCTGGAAACACTCATTATAAGAAATTTTGACATGTGGAAGAATACGTACATATGACACATGAAATACAATACGTACTAACACTTCTAAGAATTTAAAAAGGTAAAAAGAAATCTATTCAACTTCCAAATTCCCCATACATGCACAAAGAAAGTCCATTCAACTTCTAATAGTGAGAATAATGTATGATGTTCACTTATAAATATATAATAACTATCAGACATTATCATTTAAAGGAAAAATATATAATGCTTAAAAATATTTCCACAATGACGGCGCCATTGTTAGCTTTTTGGAAAATTACCCAATGCGCATTTGTGCTACTAGCATTGCCACATTATTTTTAAAAATAACATGACCATTATATATGACCAATATGGTATAGTATGTCTGTGTATCTATGATACCCAATTTTATGACACCCGATTTTATATGTAAATATAGGTCTAAAAAAAGCAGCATAGAATTGTGTTTTTTCATATTTGGTAATTATTTGTCTATGATTTACCAAAAACAACTACATAGTTTAAAAACAGTATATATTAGTCTTTTTAGTAACTATTATTATATTCAGTTCGATAATGAAATAATGATAACAATATAATCACATAATAAGTGGGTGGTTGGATTTACTTCTTAAAACGCTTCTTCTCCTTTGACACAATAGCTACCTTGACATAATAACACACATTATCTAAATAACAAAAGACCTTTGATTTGTTTGAATTGATCCACTTTTGGATGAGAATAGGATCATCACTCAATCTTTTAACTGGGAAAGACGGTTCAAATCGAGAGTTGACCACCATCTTCACTTCAACTTTAAAATGGAAAATTTTATCAACCAAAGAAAGAATTTCTTCTGGAAATTCGCTACCATTGTTAGCCTGTAACATATAAGAATCTATGTATATAAGTGCAAACATAAGTATATAATTGATATCAAACATACAAATATGCAGGTTCATGGTAAAACCTTATTGGTATTCTCAATCATTTCTTGACAGCTTTTCATAAGTAATTTAGTAGCTTCACGCTCACACATAACAAATGTAGCAGAGTCAGTCTCATCATCAACCTTGACTTTGATACCATACCTTTAGGAAAAGCAATAATGTGTATATGGATTAATGTTGAACACATTACTTTAAAAAACAACCAAACTAAGATGAGATATGTTACCTAGGGTAGACATCGACTACGTGATGGTTGCAAGCCTCATTGGACCCCATCTTTTAAGTTATTCTTAAAAACTCTAAGATTATCCAAAAAGTATACTCCATGTGTCCCATTGGACTTTGTCATTTTTTTTTTTCTTTTTTTCCCAAAAATTTTGCCACATTCCTTTTAGGTAATGAATTTGTGGTTGTCCTTATCTCTCTCTTCTTTGTACAACTATGAACCACACACTTTTTACTTTTCTATTTCACACTCAAGTTGAAGTATGCAGTGGGACGAGGGATTGAAAAAAACTAAGTCACTGCATTCATAAAAGGTACTAAAAAAATCCATGTAAAACAATTTCTGCTTCTACAAATGTTTTAATGTACATACTACAAGGTAAAATGAACAGGGGCATTTGTCAAAACTTTTTTTATATCCCCGAAGGCTCGCTAATTTCTTTATAATTTACTATTTACGTAAGCAAATGCAAAAAAAATGAACATGCTATTAAAGATATCGTCCACCTCCAATCACATTTAGAATTTTCGATACTCCTAATTATAAATAAATAGTAAAGGGAAATTTTTCAAGTGAATTCGGCTATTATTTCAAATCCATCACTCAAACCCCTATGAAAAAGGTATAAGTCCTTTATAAGTACTCTTATTCTGAAAAACACAATTAATCTAGGTGTCTTCACCTACTAAAATCAATCATTTCATAAAATACAAATCACGACAATTAAAAATTATAAAAAGACGTTAGAATAAAAGTAAAAAAAATGAAAATGTAAAATATAATAAAATTACTATGTACAAACAATTAGAAGATATACAATACAAAAATAATAAACACACTGTATTGTTTTTAACATATACGAAAATAATAAGTACAATGCTTTATAGTTTATATATAGTTTATTTTATTTAGTACATTATTTAAGTTATTAAATGGTACCAAAGGATCATCTTGAACTATATCAAAAGTTGTTAAACTGGCATGGAATGGACAAGGTGATACATATATTTGGTCATTTCGGACAATACGATACCTAAATATTTAAGAAATCAAACATAGTTTGAGACGAGATAAGTTCTTTTAGAGGACCATCTCATCCTGATCATTATAAAGCAAACCAAAACACTTACAAAGGGACTAGGACGTTGTTTTCATTTTGTGCATTTTCTTCCTATTCACTAGCTATTACTTTTTCTTAATTCTACTTTTCATTTCTGTTTACTTCATGAGAAAAATTTAACCATGAACTACTTTCATCGTGCGGTTCACGGGTACACATACTAGTAATATATCAAAGCCTCATACTTGAAGTAAAATATAGTCACATACTTCGTATTTAGATTATATTTCTGAGGATACCCAACCATGTTCTGAATGACAATAATGTTGGATACGCCATGACTCAAGATGTCCAACGGGAGCATCCCACTCAACTCCACGACTGCTATGATGGCATGTTATACTTATGAATTAATTAACATGCTTCTTAGATTTAAAATTGAGTTGTCCACTTCTTTGAAAGGGATTTGTGACCATATTATTTAATCGTAAGAAATAGAAAATACGGAAAGATTATCAACGTTTTAATGTATACTATCAGACGTTGTTTAATAGTTGCAATATTTTGACTTTCACTTCTGTCAAATTAAAGCATAACTTTAATTTTAATCACACTAATTACGTATTAGTAAACATTATAAAATTTTAATATAACACATTTTTACTATGATCTAATCACAAGCAATAATACATTTTATATGTTAAATGACTATATATTAATTATCATTTTTTACAAAAAAAATACTAAAATTCAACATATTTATACAAATATGACTATTAGTTTCTACAATGTAGTGTCATAGTAACTTAAGTTTAAAATTTGAACATAAGTTATTATAATTTCATTACTATAGTCACTTATCACATTTTTGTAAATAATTTTTCGTTTTGGTCATAAATATATAATTATTTCTTAAATTATCAATCATCATATAAGATAGTATCATATATTTACTCTATTGTGGTAGCATTGTGATTGCTGTCACCGCAGTTGTGGCTATTGCAGCTGATGCGGTGTAATTTAATTTTATGTTCCAATGAAATAAGAAATTAAAATAATTAGTGTTGATGTCTTAACACGATCCGATATGGCCCCGTTGCGGCGACCTTACGGTTTCATTTGGTTACGTAGTAGATTTTCCCCGTGAATTGAAACCGTACCTCCATTGTGGCCCCCATCCACAAAATGTGTTGCAATCCCGATATATCCTCGTTGGCCACGTTTCGTTGGATTTCGTTGGGACGACAATGAGAGTACATTATTGATATTCTTATAGTGGTTATTTATAATTGGAGAATCATAAGTGTTATGTGTGGAACTTTTCCTGTGAAGATATTGATCGTGTTCATAAATTATATGCATATTGTTATTATGTTTCCATATCATAATTTCTTTATTGACGGTATAAACTAAATGTGATTATGCACAATATGATTAAATGCACAATCCAATCAATAATTAAGTATATCATGTAGATGTTACAAATTAATTAGATGTTGTAATGTAAGAGTATGAATTATTTTTATATTATATGAGCATTTACATCATGTAATGACTTAGACAATGAAGTCAATGATTGGGAAATTAAAATAGTGTTAATATTTATTTTGTCAAATCAATAGGAGAGACACACATAGCATTTCATAATTCATTCGTATTTTTTTTTTTTGGATGAAATGTAAATATATATTAACACCCAGAAAAACTATACATCACATGTTCTAGATCTCCTAAAACCTCCCCCACCCCACATAATGTGTGGGTGAAAGGAGGTTTTTATTCGATCTATTCAATGCCAAAAACCCGACTCATCAAGAAGTTCAAAAAAAAAATACATCAGTGCTGCAAATGCATGCACACAGATCAGAGGCTAAATCTACCTCTATATAAAAAGAGGTGGAAAACCAGATGAGTTTCCCGCCCAAAAGTGTCACATCAATATAATGAATAAAAATAAAAGAAAATAAAGAAAGATCCGTTCAAAGTCAAGCATGTCAATTCAAAAAGTAAATACCATGTCCGAGACTCACATGCTTGAAACAATTTTACTCCGTAGTTAAATGTTGAGTTGACCGGTTGGCCCAAAACGGTTCTCATCATGTGGCCAAGGTATGATATGTGTCAGGAAAATATCTATTTCCACTGTATATGGTTGTATGCGTGCTAAGCCAGTAATACGAATCAGGTGATATCTTCTTGGTTAATGCGAAAAGGGTCATGGCCACATTAATTGCCTATTCATCTTTTAGGTTTCCATTCCATGGTCAAAAAGTAAGTCCATCCTCACGTGATTATCTTCTTGGTTTAATAATTAATACCGAGTATATAGTTAGTCCATCCTCTCCCCCGTGGTCAGCAGAGGCTTCAGTGAAACTCAGAAGTTTCCATTACTTCCTGTGGAAGTTGCAATCCAAGCCGACGGAACATCGCTACGAGAAGTGAAATAACCGATTTCAGCTGGCATCGACAGGGCAGTCCCGACGGCTCGCGGTGCTTCTGGATTCCGTTTGGGGTTTGGCGTGGATGAGACAGAGCATCCGGCGACTCAATGACTAGGAGATAGGATGTTGGTTTTACTGATGCTCGGATGTAGTTGCCGATTTGATATTGGAGTCATATTAATTATACTCTGTATATTCATGAGACTTGTGGTGGAAACAACATCTGCAAGGCGGAGACCACACTGGCCTATTGAGATAACTGTGATAGGTCCTTATGAAGGTGGTGTGTGGAAAGTAAGGGTGGAACTTCCTGCTTATCCTTATAGGTCTCCATACATTGGCTTTGTTAATAAAATGTACCACCCCAATGTTGATGAGACATAGGTGACTAAATGCTTAATACAAGTAGCTCTTACTTTCTACTGTATAAACTTACCTAATTATTTTCTTTCCTGAATATTATAAAAATATGTTGGTTTTCAGGTGGCATTCGGTTTGTTTAGATGTGATCAATCAGACTTGGAGCTCCATGTTTGATAAGAAGGATTTAGGATGAGTTATTATGTCTTGCTTGGAATTATCTGCTGCGATTTGGTAAACGTATTTGAAGTGTCTCTTCCCCAACTTCTATTGTACCATAACGCATCTAACCAATTGAATGGGGAGGTAGCTGCTCTGATTATGCGAGACCACCATACATATGACCTGAAAGTTAAATGTATATTTGAAACTTTGGTAACTAAATAAATGCTAAAACACTGATGAGTTATTATGTCTTGCTTGGAAGTATGTGCTGCAGATTTGGTACACGTATTTGAAGTTTGTTTTCCCCAACTTCTATTGTACCCTAACGCATCTGACCCATTGAACAGGGAGGTAGCTGATTCAAAGACAACCCTGCATATGAACTAAAGTTAAAGGTATTGACAGTTTAAAATCTATGGTATTCAATATCATCTGAGGAATGTCTAGGTAACCAAATTCAACTCCTTTTCTTTTCATTTTGGCATCAATTCAATCTATCTATTTGTATTTTCATTTATATAATGTGTGTGTGTCATCTGTTTGCATCTAAGTTTGAATTCACCCTTACTTATGTAGAACACATGTGTGTCTATTAAGAATTCATTAAAAGAAGAATGCATATGAGGGTTATTTCCAATCCTATTGTATATGAAGAGGTCTCTTTTTTGTTTCAGGAAACAAGACATGGTGATTCCATTTGCCCAAGATGTTGATATTTGTACATTTTTTCTCAAAACATGTTGATACCTTCTAATTATAACAGAACATTTCATATTGTAATTTAGAACATCAATTGAGCCTTTTTATGTAGGAAGAGCTAATTGACATTTTTGAAATACTTGGATGGTGTATTTAACACTATTGTAGTACTTTTTTTTACAGTTCAATCAATTTTAATTCTCAGTAGCATATCATCTTTTACATATTCAGACACTGAGTTTAGCCTAAGTTTCTGTAAATTTAAAAAAAAAAATGTATAACATCTGTTACCAAACTGCATCCTTAAATTTCTGTTTTTCTTTTTTACTTGATAGCATATCATATTTTATCCCTAACTTTTTTACAGTTTAATCAATTTATCATCATTCAATTAATAATCTTCATTTTGTGAAGCTTCTTTTGGGCACTCATAGCATATAATAGGTGCGACATGCGTATATAGTTAATAAGAGCATAAGAGCATGTTTTTATTTTTAATACACGACTTCTCCAAGAAAACCCTGACCAAACTCAATATACCATTTGTTACCAAACTGCAATCCTGACTTTCTGTTTTTCTTTTTCACTTGATAGTTTAAATATTCAGTCGCTGAGTTTAGCTCTTTATAAATGGCACCTGGTCTCAGTTCACCTATTCGTGGACCGAACTGGGGGTTCCGGTCCCAGGCCGACCATTTTTTAATCCTCGCAAACGAAAATAATAAAATGGGATCAGGTCCTGCCCAAGACTGGAACCGGGACTGGACCGCCCGAGTACCCGGAATTGGCCCAAATCCGGATTTAACCCGACTTACTCTTATTTGAGCAAGAGTGATCGGATATCATTGAAAACCATTTTCTACTAACGATTTGTTACACAGTGACAATGAGGAGCGTCGAAAAAATTAGAAAAAAACTTTTGAAGGCATTGTCTATACTTAGATCTTCAAAATACTAATATGTGTTTTTTGAACTTCTAAAATCAATACTTCGTATTTTTATTTATGATTTTCTTTTTGCTATGAAAATTAGTATTTTAATTCTATATCCATATTATTAGATGCGTTTGTATATTAATATTTATAATTTCTATAATTAAACTTCATGTCATGTAACACACGGATAGAATATTAAAGTGTGTGCTTATTAAAATTCTATTATTTGTTGTTATCCACAATTAATTATTAATGGTCACACACATTCACGTCATAAAATATACTACGTAATATCCATAATTACATTTAAATATTGACATATATAATATCTACGTTTTACAACCCGTGCAACGCACGGGTGAAATACTAGTTCTAAGGAAAGTACAAAAGGTGCCAGTAAAACAAACACCATAATATCAAAGATCATGCTACATGCCGCGGCATTCATAATGTCCATGCCGCGTCGTATCAAGTGTCAAGCCGTGGCATCCATAATGTCCATGCATCGGCGCTCCAAGCAAACATGTAGCGGTCAAACCAAAAACCGCGGCCTCCATAATATCCAATCCCCGGCCTTCTACTCAGAATGTGATCAAGTCATGCGGGTATAAATTGGAAAGTATTTTATACACCACATGCTTGACTTTTGCAATGACTTCCTCTTCCTTCACGTCCTTTTCATCAAATCGGTTGGCATTTCTAGTGTGCCAAAGGTAGTAAACCGCGGCACCAAACGCAATCCAAACAGCCTTCCCTTTGATCTTTGAACCCTTATGATCCTTCAAGATCCATTTCACGGAGCTGCATAGCGTGGTCATCTCTCGATTCATCCCCAACCATTCCTTAATTTTTTCCCAGACCCTACAAGTGTAATGACAACGAAAAAATAGGTGTGGTATTGTTTCCAATTCACCCTTGCACAGGTCACAACGATTAACAATATGGAGGTAACCAAGGCTATCCTGCGTAGGTAACCGGTTCCTCATAGCAAGCCAAGCGTTGAATGAGAACTTCGGAGGGATATAAGACTTCCAAATGAAGCTCATCCACACTCTCGGCGTCCCTTTAATTCTCAACAACTCATAAATCTTTCCGGAACAGAGCTTACCATTTAAGGATCTACTATTTAGGCCCATAATGGTATCATTCAAATTGTTAAAACATCTCAAGATTTGGTCCCGGATGTGACTCAATTTCTTCATGAACATTGAGTCACGATTGTGTGGGATAAAATCCCACACGCTCCTACCTTTAAGGTAGACCCCATTTACCCACCTTACCCATAGGGTGTCTTTTTTCCTATGGACATCCCAAAGTGTTCGAGAGAGGAGAGCATGGTTCCAAATCTTGGCATTATGAATGCCAAGGCCCCCCTCCTCTTTTGGTAGACAAATGTCATCCCAAGCCACTTTAGAATATTTCCCACCCCATAGAAAAATTCGGCAAATAGAAACAATCCTATCTAGGATTGTTTGGGGGACCGGGAAAACCTGGAGCCAAAAAGATTGGACCCCTTGGATCACAGATCTTATCAACTCGAGTTTTCCGGCATAGGATAAAGTCTTCGTGTTCCAAGCCTTTAAAAAAACCGAGATTGTATCCAGCAGCGGTGAGTACTGCGCCACAGAAACCTTAAG